CCCCCCACCGTCGTTTAGATTTTTTTATAGTAACAAAAATAATTTCGCCTAGTTCAGTTAGAGGACAGACACTTTTAAAAAACTAAACGCTCAATGGAGTGCGCCGAACCGTGCGCGAACGACAGGAGTCAGATTTGATTTAACACGTGAGGAGTGAGTCGAGCTGACTGACAAGAGTGAGGTGAGAAAGACAAGACGATGGCAGAAGATTGTTTAGAAAGGAAACGCAAAGGCGCCTGTTTGGCAATATTTTAGATTTTGAAAAGCTTATTGACTGGAAGATTTTTTAAACATTCGTTTCTTATTTATTTGGTTCCACAGTGTTTGCTGATTACTTTATTTAAACTTTGTGTATTTTATTTATTTTATTTTACATCAAGGTGTATGCCGTGCCTCCAAGTTTTCTTACTCGTTGTGCTAATAAACGTTCTGTGTTTCTTATTTATTTGGTTCCACAGTGTTTGCTGATTTTCAGTTTTATATACCTATTTAAACTGTGTGTAGCCTAAGTAATTTGTTATTTTATTAGGCATATATGGTGTATTTTTATTAGTTTTGTTAATAAAAGTTCTATGAGTTTGACGTTGTTGTTGCTTGAATTGAATCAATGCCGAATTGCCACTAATTTGAAAGTGAAAGTAAAATGCGCATGGCACTTTTACAAGCCGTTTGAAAGCGAAGAAAAGAGGGAATCTCAAACTAACTAACACCCCCTCCCAACCCCAATGGTGATACCTGTATTACTGGTGTTGTCACACGTTTCATCCGCTTCAGTGATTACGTGGAGGTGGCAGAAGCTCAGGATTACGACCGGCGCGCGGACAAACCCTGGACCAGACTCACTGCTGCTGATAAGGTTCATCTCCATCACCCTGAGCTTCTCTGACTAAATAAAAACTTGATGCTTTCACGTTTGAAAATTAAAGCATAAATGTTACATTGTAAGTAGTAGAATATTGCATTTTAAAAAACTATACTCATCCGCTTCAGTGATTACGTGGAGGTGGCAGAAGCTCAGGATTATGACCGGCGCGCGGACAAACCCTGGACCAGACTCACTGCTGCTGATAAGGTTCATCTCCATCACACTGAGCTTCTCTGACTAAATAAAAACTTGATGCTTTCACGTTTGAAAATTAAAGCATAAATGTTACATTGTAAGTAGTAGAATATTGCATTTTAAAAAACTATACGTGTATATATATATGTGTGTGTGACCCTGGACCACAAAACCAGTCATAAGGGTCAACGGGTTCTGAGTTTAGTGTGATTTGTGTCTCTCTCAGGCTGCTATACGCAAAGAGCTGAACGAGTTCAAAAGCACAGAGATGGAGGTGCACGAGTCCAGTCGACATCTAACCAGGTGAACAAACACATCCAGATCTGACACGACTCGTCTGGCTGGCTTCTGTGCGCTTCATTGTTGTGTAGATAATGAATTCAGCATTATTAGCTGATTCCTAATCATGATAAGAAAGAAATCAAGCTTTTTTTATACACTTTTTGTCTATTTCCAGCTATTTTTTAATTGAAAATATGCATTTTAAATAAATATACAGAAATAAGCTATTATTTTAATTTCAGTATGTGTTTTTAACTTTCTAATGAACACTTTTCTATCTATCTGTTTATCTCTCTATTATTAAAAATATATATATAAATAGTAAACAATAAATGTTTTTATATATATATATATATATATATAGATTAAACATTTGTTAATATATTTCTTTTGTTTACATTTTATATTCATATTTTTATTGAGTTCTATATACAATTTTTTTAATTAATACATTTATTCAGCAAGGATGCATTAAATGGTGTAAAAGTGGCATAAATCTTTTCCAACATTATAAATGCCTTTAATCTTTCAAATAAATACTGTTCTTTTCAACTTTTTATTCATCCTGAAAAAATTCTGTATCAGTTTCCACAAAAATATTGGGCAGCACAACTGTTTTCAACATTGATAATAATCAGAAATGTTTCTTGAGCAGCAAATCAGCATATTATACTGATTTCTGAAGATCACGTGACACTGAAGACTGGAGTAATGATGCTGAAAATACAGCTGCGCATCACAGAAATAAATTACATTTTAACAGATATTCACACAGAAATCAGTTATTTTAAATTCTAATAATATTTTACAATTTCTACTGTTTTTTATCAAATAAATGCAGCCTTGATGAACATAAGATTCAGTTTACAAATAAAAAATCCCTAAACTTCTAAAAATTAGTGTATATTTAGCATAAAGACATCTACATGTCTTTCTTAATATATTTTTTAAAAATATACATAAAATTAAATGTGTAAATTTTTTTTTTATAAATATTTAACTATTTTATAAACCTTTAAAATTGACAAAAGTCACATTCATATACATGATGTCTCAGTCTGTTTGGAAGCACTAGATTGCTACAGTGTTTAATGTAAATACGACTTAAAAAAGCAGCTTTAAGTTCTTCTGGTTTAAAGGATAAGGTCAAGTGAAGCACATTGCATTGTGGGCTGGGCATCATGTTTACTGTGTTGTCATTCTTGTGTTCTCTGCAGGTTTCATCGGCCGTAGAGTGAACTCTCTCCGTCTCTCTCTCTGGTTTGGAGCTGTTCATCTCTAATGGACCCTGAGCAGACTCTCTGCTGCTGGATTTGATCAGGAATCACTCGCAGCAGATCTGAGCTGATCCTGCTGGACTCTCAGCGGCCCGGTGGATTACCAGCGAGCTGACGATCTGTCAGTGTGCCCATATTTCTGTATATTTTGACAAAAACTGATCTATTACGTGCCCTTCGCCATGAATTTCTCTTTTTTTGGTTTTTCCAGGCGATGGTTTTTAATGCAGCAGACGATGTAGTTGATTTTCTACTTGCAACTGATATTATTCCAGTCCTTTTAGTCTTCAAAAACGGAGAACACAAAGGAAACAACTTTTCTAATGAGCGCAAACCACATTATTAGACGCTGTCTTTGAAGAAACAGTTCAGCCAAAAAGGAAAATTAGCTGGAAATGTCCTCACCCTGAGATCATCCGAGATTAGGATGAGTTTGTGTCTTCATCAGGTCTGGAGAAATGTGTCACTGCGTCAGTGTCTCAGCAATGGATGCTCTGCAGTGAATGGGTGCCGTTAGAATGAGAGTCCAAACAGCTGATAAAAACATCACAATAATCCACAGCACTCCAGTCCGTCAGTTAATGTCTTGTGAAGCCAAAAGCTGAAACTAATCCAGCATTAAGATGTTTTTAACTTCAAACTTTTGGCCAAAATATGAGTCCATATAACATTGACTTTTTCAATGGAGGAAACATTTTATGAATTATGGACTCATATTTTAGCAGGAAGCAATGGTTTGAAGTAAAAACGTCTTAATGCTGGATTAGTTTCAGCTTTTGTCTTCTCCAGACGTTAACTGATGGACTGGAGTGCTGTGGATTATTGTGATGTTTTTATCAGCTGTTTGGACTCTCATTCTGACGGCACCCATTCACTGCAGAGCATCCATTGCTGAGACACTGACGCAGTGACACATTTCTACAAATCTGAAGATGGTGGTGTCATTTTCAGCAAATTATTCAGTTTTGGATGAACTATTCCTTTAATTCCACATTTGCTGCTTATTTTCAATTTATATGCATCTGCTAGACACTTTTATCCATTCACTCCCTGGGAGTCAAACCCATGATGTCGGCTGCTGTTTGTGCTATTTTAAGTCATAAAAACCCAGGAACATCTTTAACCAATAACAATAAAGCAACGTTTGCCACGCCCACACTACCGACCAATCACAGGAGGAGATCTCGACGGGCGACAGGACAGAGCAATAAGGTGTTACGAGTGACTCATTGTTCACGAGTCCTGCCGAGTGTTTTCAAACTGGGTTTTTGTTCCTCCGTCTCATTGGTGCTCAGCTGTCATGTGATCGAGCATTGGGTGACCCTTTAAACCCCGCCCACTTTACAGGGCATCACGTTGCCAAAATAAAACCAAAACAGAGAAGGGAATCACAATAATCAGTGTTGCATTCGCTTTCTTTTTGTATTTTATTCACAGTGATCATACAGAAATAGTAACAGTAACATTTACAGTAAGGTCTCATTTGTTTACATTAATGTATGAACTAATGAGTAATATTTGTTACAACATTTAATCTTAGCTAATAATAATACAATTGTTCATGTTAGTCCACAGTGCATTATTTAATGTGAACAAATGCAATTTTTAATTTATTCAATTAACTTTGTAAGTGTACAACAAGGAATTATTTTATAATTTCATTATTACATGAACTATTGTTCTTTAATTGAGGTAAAAGGAATTATTTAATTTTAATTATACAAATACAACTTTTAATTTTAATACGTTTTTATTTGCTAACATTGCATTAACATTAATAGTTATTAAAATTAAAATTTTTAAATACAACTTGTTAACTATTAAATATTGAAATCAACAAACAGACTAATAAATGCAGTAGAATTGTTAGTTCATGTTAACGAATGAAGTTATATATAATATGGTTCCATTTGTCAACTTTAGTTAACTTAGTTAAAACATGAACTAACAATTCTACTGCATTTATTACTAATAAATAACTTTTTTTACTTGTAAATTTTGAAATCGTCAAACTAAGACTAATAAATTAAAGTTTGTTGATTTTCAAAGTGTACTAGTAAAAAGGTTGTATTTAATATTTACATTTTAATTTTAATAACTATTAATATTAACATAAATTAATGTTAACAAATAAAATCTCATTTTAGAAATGTTGAAATTAACAATTTATTACTACATTAACAGTTTTTTAAAATTATGAATAACAAGCAATGACTTTAGTTAATATGATTAAAATGTAACAAAAAATAAACACCTAATTCCTCAATTAAAAAAAAAAAAAAGCTAATGTAGTAATATTAATAACAAATAAAAAATAATAATTCCTTGAAATGCAATTACAATGTAAATTTGAACATTTACTAACCTATTTTTAAAATGAAGTTGTACTTGTTAACATTACTTGATGCACTGAACTATCATGAATATGATTAACTGTATTTTTATTAAACACTGTTCATTCATAAAGAAATGAGACCTTATTGTGTTACCACTGTAATGTGTGCTGGGATGTTTTTATGTTAATATATTATTTATAAATATTTTTAACTGACTTTGATACTGAACACATTGGCAGGGCATTACAGGAAAAGTTCACCCAAAAAAAAGACTTTATTTATCACCCTCATTTGTTCCAAACCTACATGTTATTTTTTTTCTGAGACTTTTAAGCACTTTTTCTGATCTTACGAATCATATGAACAGGTTTGGAACGACATGAGGGTGTAAAAATAACAGTATTTTTGGCCAATCGGTGACCACACATTTAGAAGAGCAGACGTCGTCATGTTTTGAATGATTGATGTGTTTCTGTTTCCAGACGCTAGCGTTTCTCAGAGAGCGGGAGGCATGTCGTGAACCGTACTGTCACTCCTGAATGATGTATGCAGATTCTCATGTAAACCAACCTAATAAAAGAGCGACCACACACACAGCTGACGTTCCTGTCGTCCACGTCTGAGTGCTTTGAGTCTCCGTCACATGTCAGACTCAGAAATGATGAATTACACAGAGTGCATGGGCGTGCCGCAGTGTTTGTGCCACAGATCGATGGCTTTAGTGACGATGGCGTCTGTGTTCTCCTGCGGCAGCTGTACAGAGAGACCAAGACATCAGAAGCGCTTTAGCAACATTTATAGCTTTATGTCGGTGCATCAAAAACTTAAATGTTAAATCACGGAAACTACAGAAAAAGGTTGGGAACATTTGCTGGGTTCAATATTCTATTCATTCAAAATCTATTCAATATCATTTGTGGCAAAATGTTAATTTAATATGATTAATAAAATAAAATGTATTAACTGTTCCTCAATTTTAAAAAAATGTAATAATAAATAAAAAATTATATTTAATATAATAAATCAAATGTAAAAAAGTAATTCCTTGTTCCTCAATTTAAAAAACTACCTCATAATAATTATAAAATGTTGTTTAATAAAATTAATAAACTAAAATAAAAATCATAAAATTAATTTATTATTCCTCATTAAAAAAATGGCATTTCATAATAAATGAATAGTATTTAATACAATAAATAAAATAATACTAAAATAATTCCTTGTTCCTCAATTAAAATAGTTCAAATAAAATAAATCATCTTATGTAGTATATTAATAAAATAAAAATATATAGAAATAATAAAGTAATTACTTGCTCAATTAAAAAAAAACAGGTAGCCATATAATAATGATGTTACTTAATTGAATTAATAAAATAAAAAATATTTGTCCCTCAATTAAAAAACAGTAGTTCATTTAATAATAATAGTAATAAAATACTGTTATTTTATATAAATAAGGGTTTCTCAAAAAAACAGTGTTTGATAGAAGAAGAGGAAGAATCAATTAAATGATAAAATCATTAGTGAAAGTCTATGGGACGAGAGTACTGGAGGATTTTAAAAGATCAAAAAAATGACTTGAAAAGGGTCATACTGTAAAGATGAATAAAGTACATTCATGAACAGGTATTGAACCCAGAACATTTCTTTAAACAAACCCATTTTTGCCATGATATATAACTGAAAGAGTTATGTTCGTGGCTCACATTAGACAGGAAGTTGTAAACTCCATCCGGGTCACTCATTCCCATCAGCATGATCTTATAGCTGAGCAGAATCTCCACGGCAACAAACACCAGGATCTTACAGGAGCCGCTGATGACTTTATCCCAAACCCTGCCGACCAATCACATCACAGCACAGTCCATCAGTCAGCCAATCGCACAAGAGCACAATCAATTAATCGGACAATCACAAGTTTCAACATTGATAATAATCAGAAGAAATGTTTCTTGAGCAACAAATCAGCATATGTGTCCCTGCAGCACAGAAGCAGTGTTAAGTCGCTGGGGGATATTTGTAGCAATAGCCAACAATACATTGTATGGGTCACAATTATACATTTCTCTTTTATGCCAAAAATCATTAGGATATTAAGTAAAGATCATGTTCCATGAAGATATTTTGTAAGTTTCCTACTGTAAATATATCAAAACTTAATGTTTGATTAGTAATATGCATGGCTAAGAACTTCATTTGAACAACTTTAAAGATGATTTTCTCAATATTTAGATTTTTTTGCACCCTCAGATTCCAGATTTTCAAATAGTTGTATCCCAAATATTGTCCTAACAAGCCATGCATCAATGGAAAGATTATTTATTCAGCTTTCAGATGATGCATAAATCTCAATTTAAAAAAATTGACCCTTATGACAGGTTTTGTGCTCCAGGGTCACATATTATACTGATTTCTGAAGATCATGTGACACTGAAGACTGGAGTAATGATGCTGAAAATACAGCTGCGCATCACAGAAATAAATTACAGTTTAACAGATACTCACATAGAAAACAGTATTTGAAATGGTAAAAATATTTCACAATTTTTCCTGTATTTTTGAGAGGAATCAGTAAACTGCAGTGGACGTCATTGTGTCCTGACCTCTGTAGGCTAGACTCTGGTAAACAGCCAGCAAAGCAGCGTCTGAACCAGAGACAGTACGGCAGCGAGTGCAGAGCTCCAGACGTCTTCAGATGAGCCAGAAGAGCGGCGTCCTCTTGAGACAGGAAGTGCTCCAAACTCTTCGGCTGAAACACAATTCAAAACAAATCAGAGTAACTTTACATCAATGAGCCGCTGCACAAGACGGAAGAACGAAACGTGGACTATTTTTGTGGTGTTTCTGTTAGTTTTCGAGCTCCATATATGAACTTGGAATGACGTGAGGGTGAGTAAATGTAATAAAATAATAATAATAACTGGTGTTATTATTCAATAATGTGTAAAAAAAAAAATCTGGTGTTAAAAGGAAAACAAGTAAAATTATTAAACACTCAAAAATCATAAAAATGAAAATAAAAATATATTTTATTATAATGTCAAAACGAAAAAATAACCACTTGTACTAAAATTAAAAATCATAAATAAATAAATATATATATAAAAAAATTAATACAAATAATA